CAATTTGCATTTGATTTGCGCGTCCGACCCTCGGGGACGCGCCTCGGGGCATCGGTCAAATTAACGTCTGAATACATCAGTTTTGTACAAACGTCGGTCGGGCGTGTATATAAGTATACATATATATATATATGAGAGAGAGAGAGAGAGAGAGAGAGAGAGCCGCGGATTAAAGGGTTAGGACGTGGAAAAGGTGCCTTTTTCGAGTGTACACGCGTTCGCGGACGGGGGCGTGTATGCACCGATGGCGAAGTACGCCCCGAGATTATTATCGCGGTCCGCGCGTCATGCCGTGTAGTCCGGCCCGTACGTGTGTACAGCGAAAACATCGTTTTCAACATAAATATTGTGCCGCTATAATACGGAGCTAGTAGCTAGTGCACCATAATATCGTGATGTTATTATAATACCTACCAAAACATTATAGCGCGTTGTATACATTGTATTATTGTAGCGCGCACGTTGGGTACTGCGGTGCGCGCACTATTATACCGTAAAAAGGGTTCCACTAAATCAATCACTACATCGCGAGCGGTCTAAAAACCCCTGACAGTCGGGTCCGGAATTATAATGTATATAATGCACGATAAAACATAATGCATACACGGTTAAAAGCTCGGAATGCCGGCTGATATGCGAAAGAAATAACCGCCGCGAATACGGATCGGGTGCCGCTGTACTGAACCTCGGACGATTTCAGTAGCTTTCTCGGCTGAACGTTTCGAGTACAAAACAAAAAAATCAAAACCCAAAATACCCGAGTGTCTTGTATGAAATACCTGTATGTATAGGGTGAAAAGTACATTTTCTTTTTGTGTAGCTAATCGAAAACAAACAAAAAAAGCCGTCCTAGGATAATGAGGTTGAGTGCAGCCACCGTTATAGGTGAGAAGTTGGGAAGGTTGTAGAGAAAAAATTGAATGTATATACTATATATGTACGCAACGATTAGCCATCGCTAACGAAAAAACGATTCTGAGCGGAGTTCGGTCGATATAGTTGCTTTGTCAACAATATAATATGTTAACTACATAATATGCATCTATAGCAATTTATATCATTTGTACTATTTTAGCGAAATTGCTGGTAGAAAAGTTGTCCATAGAAAAAAAAAATACTGTAATATATTACTAATACATTTCTTACATTTTTCCGTTTTTCTTTCATTTTTTTCCTATTTATTAGGAAAACTCCAAGGAAAATCCAAAAGATGGCCACCCTAAAGTTCCTCCCTAGTCAGATTTTTCTTTTAGAAAAAAAAAAACACATCACTGTAAAACCAATACATTCCTCGCTCTACTCAGAATCTAAAACAAATGATTTTTGACCCCGACCGACATATTTTTAAATTATTGTTCTTCATAGTTTTTCAAATCCAACGGAACACCGGATTGATTATTGATCGTATAAACTTTATCGATTCACGGCCCAACCATACGTTTATCGGTTGTCCGTCGAATGCATCGAGAGACCATCGGATGTCGATCGCACGGCCTATAATATTGTCGAGGAACATCAGAATACATAAGATTTCTAATCTGATTCGTCATCAAGTCCGTAACAAGGAACATGTGTGAATGTCCGGATACCTATTTATCCCGTATGATTTTTCGTCTCTGCCCACGACAAGCCATATATAATAAAGAAAACAAATAAAATTATCAGAAACTATAATACGCCATTCAAACACGATATAATACAACAATGAAAGAAATATAATATACTAAACTTGTGTGGGATAACGAGAGTGATTGTTTCAACACTTCAGTCTCGTTTGGTCTCTCGTCAAAATCTTCGCGTTTGACGTGCTCATAATATAATAATAGTCGATAAATAGTAGATCTGTCAAAACATCAAAAGTTTATACAATAATTCTGCGGTCGATTTTTTACGACGTAATACTACACCCAAATCACAAATTAGTCAATATATAGAATTAAATTTATGGAAATATATTAAAATTTTTTTTTTTTTTTTTTTTTTTAACAATTCAGAGTGTAATAAAGAAGCTATATAATATTTACAATTTACAAATATGTGCGTTTTTTCTCGGAAAATACTTTTTCGATTACCTAGTAAAAATTATCTTATTTGTTCATACTGTACGATAAAAAAAAAATGCTGATAATTTTAATAAATTATATTTTTAATAAAATATCTTATCCCAAAAAATTTTCTTAAAAATTAAAAAAAAACTGATAACAAAACACACTATACATTGACAAAAGCTTTATTTTTGTTGATTTTTGAGATCCCTTGTCCACATGGGAAAAAATCACAATATACGTATTATAACCCTGGAAGAATAATTTAGACAACACAAATCAAAATATAAAAATGTTAAAAAATTGACCGATGTAAAACTGTTAGTTTTGGGACATAACTTTGTTTTTGGGCTAGAATATGTAAAAAGTTAGGTAAAAAAAAAAGTCACATCTCAGAAGTATTAATATTCACGTTTGAAACTGCCAATTTATTTTATTTTAACCAGAAATGAAGACGTTTGAGTTCATGCTGTATTAAATAAATGGAAAGATTCAAATATAATAAATTATAAAAGATGAAATTCTGCATATTTCGATAATAATAATTCGAAAGTTTAATTTTTTTTTTCTAGTTGTGTCACTATTTTTTCGGGGGTGCGAACCTTACCAGTTTATCGAACTCCTCTCAGAATACTCTTTTGATTGTAACGATTTATCGTTGCTTTTAGTACCCATACATAAAATAAATTAGGTACCCTATTATATCTTATACCGTCTAGCGACCCGGTGTAAAGTGTCTGTCTGACTTTTTTTTTTTTTTTTAATTTAAGCTAAAACAGCTTTTACGTTATAATATGCTTTACACTAGGAAATTTCCTGTGAGACTTGTATATCAATATAGATAATAATTTATGCTGTGTAGGTTTCTTCGTTAATATCGGTGAGAACTGCTACGCGCGTAGTGGTTCGATGATTGTGCGAGAACCGTTCATCACGCGTGCGAAATATATAAATGTATAGATACCTACCATCATAATTTATTATATCGTAACCGAATACCGGAAAACGCGGTCAAAATCTCCCAGACTCGTACACAAAGTGGACTCCGCCGTTGTACAGTAATGCACAATAATAGCCTAGTGGTTTTTTCGCCAAGTACCTGTACAGATTACATGATGTTGCGTCTATAACGAGCACGCGCGTCTGTATACTTAATGGGTTCATACACGATGTACACATAATAAATGTTGCTCTTTTATAATCCCATAATAAACTATACATTTACATGTATATCATTTTAGATTCCGAGCAGAACGATAATAGTATAGGCTTTACTATTATAGGATGTGTGCGAATTTTTTTTTCTGTTTGTGTACACATTTTCTTCCAGAAATCTTGCTCTAATCGATAATCGACGAGAGAGCGTTTTTGTAGCATTTTGGATCTTTGTAAGTAGTTGGTGAAATGAGGGGATAATTTTTTTGATTTTCCCAGTAACTTTTATAATAGTTGGAAAAACATGAAAATAACGTATATAAAAACAAACGGACAAATTTACGACAAAAATATTCATTATTATCGACTTTTTCAATTTTGTTTACACACAAAAAAACTTGCTCCGAATTTAAAGATCTTTTATGAATGTAAATTATATTATATATTATATAAGCTTTTATATTTTATTTAAAATTGAGATCAACATAGTAGTTTTTTTACTAGACGTTTTAAGTTCTGGCATTTCAAAACAAGTTTAACCGAACTTCGCTCAGAATCGTAAATCGTCAACAATGATTTAACATACAGACATAAATCAAATTTCTAACCACCTTTCTAACTTCCTATGACTATATTAACAGTATAATTTATATTTATCCTACTAATTTTTGAGTCGTTTCTGAAGAAAAAAAAATGTCGATTTCTGAAACTAAACCAATACCTACTTATTATAAATACATATTATTCGCTTCGTGTGTCGACTGCGTTTGCTGCAAAATAATTATATGCATAGTTTCGAACGAGTATTACAATTTGGTGGCGCTTAACTACGATGTATTTTTTTTTTTTTTACGAAAAATCACAGAAAAAATCCACCGGTAGAATACGAGCGCCGCGTTACGATTATACGCGGTCGGCCGGAGAAAAACGTTTCATCTTTCCCCGGCCGTGAAAGAACGAGAGAGACGGAATGAAAATAAAAAACAACGAACGTGTTGTCAAATTAAACGTATACACCGACGTCGCCACCGCTCTGCCCGAACACGTGGTAGAGGGGGAGGGGAAATACATTGGAGGAGGGGCACCAGCGATACATAGAAGGATGGATCCGAGGAGGTGTCGGCGGCGGAAAGGTTACAACGGTATGTATACATAAGTTCATACGTACCGTCTGTACGCGTATAATAATATATTATGTACGTGTGTATATTATACAGGGTGATTCTTTTATCGTGACCCAGCGATTTTCTCGGAGTACTTTAAAAGAAATTTGATTTCCGTATTTTTTCATTGTTCAACCGTATTACGGAATCGTTTAATAAGCGACGATATACGCCGCCGTTTACTGCATACGACAAGTAAATTCAAACACAATAATCACAAAAGTTAAAGAGAAGTTGCTGCAGTTTTTGTCTAAAGCGTTGTCAAAAAGAAAAAAAACTTACGGCTGTTTAAAAAAAAAAAAAAAATTAACGTGGCTTGTAACTCGGTTTGTATGGTATAGCAATATTTCGGAAAAAAAAACTGCTCTCAAAAATATTCACCTCTTTACACGTTGTCAACCGTATTTACGTAACGAAATAATTGTGCAAAGTGTACAAAGTTACTTGGACCTAGTCAGTCTGCGGGTGTGGGTGTGGGCGCGCGTCCTCTCAAGTCTTATAATATTTTAACGTCGGTTTCAAATAGACACGGATCCAGAGCAAAGATCTGGGAGGGGGGCAGCAATTTTTTTATAACACAAATACAATTAAAATATAATGTAATACATTATGTATATTATTTTCTCGTACTGATTATCAGCGATTGGAATACAGCAATATCAGGGTTTAAAGAATTATAAAAAAAATAAAATAAAATCGACGAAATAATATGTCTGGTGAGGGCCTGGGCCTCTAGGCCCTCCCCCTTGGATTCATTCCTGGTTTCAAATGTTTATCCTTGTAGCTCATAAACAGCAAGTGTAGACTTTTGATTTTCAACAGGAATTCGTTAAAAAAATTCGTCGTTTTTTTTTTCTTTCTAAAATATTTTCGATAACACGATAATTTCGGATTTATCGTTTGCGCGTTATAATTAATACTAATACGTTACCGCGGTTTTCGAAAATGTACACCGCGGACTAGGCGCGCATAAATGACGACGGTTTAGCGGAAACGTATCGCACACGAGTCGATCCTCCGTTAATAACGGTAACGCGGGTCGCGGATAAAATAATCGCCCTGTATACGTGTAAAGGAACGGGCGCGCGATCGCTGCTGCGGCGGGTGAAGAGTGCCGAGCGCGCGAGTTTCCGTCCATTTTGTTGTCGGCGAATTTGTGCACTATCATCGTGTTATTGCTTGTGCTTTGGTATTCTGGTTACAAAGGGAAACGCCGGCTCTTGGCACTTTACAATATAATTACAGGCCACCGCCGCCGCCGCTTCGGTCGGTCCGACACTCTATTTCGGTACTTTTTTTTTTTTTTTTTTTTTTTTTTTTACACGCTTATAATACACACCTCCCGCCGCCGCCGCAGTACTGTACACACGGCTCTGTGCACAGTGTCTTTCTCCTCTCGACGCCGCCGCCGCTACAGTATCGGACGCTTTTATTTTATTATTATTATTAGATATTTTTTAAATTTTTTTTTTTTTTTGTATTTTATTTTTTTCTATCCGCCTTACACCTTGTTTGCCTTTCAATCAAACATCCGAAATCATCCGACACACACACACGCGCGCGCGCACACAAACTATTTCGTCATAATACGCCGAGCCGACAGTCGAAACACGCGCGCGCACACACGCACATGCACACACACACACACACACACACGCAAATATTATTATTTTATACATTATACTCGCGCGCGCGCGTGTGTGTGTGTATACTGTGTACAACGCGACGTGGCGTTACAGCGAACGTCCCGTCATTTCAATATAAAAAAAATAATAATAATCTATTTATATTCATAAGTCATCGTTTTTTAGTGTTTTAATGCGCGTCTATGACGGAAGGTGGGGAAGGGGGGGGGGGCGAGTGAGGGAGGAGGCGCACCGAATGTCTCGAGCGCTTTGCCGCCGCCGCCGCCGCACGTTGTTTTCTTTTTTTTTTTTCTTTCTAATCAAATTCAACGTACAAAACACACAAGCCGAACGACTTCACCGATACACATAACAGTATATTATTATATGCACGGTAACCTACCTACATTGTATACAGTTGAGGAGCGAGTTTGTTAGCTGTATATTATGTTTTTTTACAAAAATAACTTTATCAAAATAAATAGTAGGTACCTACCCGCGCGGTCGTTATTTCGGTTTTTGTCGTGTACCGAAATATTACTTATAATGGTATACGGCGGTATTATAGGGGGAGGGGGGGAGGGGCTGGAGAATAACAAAACCCACCTCTAGGTATTTTCGTTTAACGACGAAGACCGCGGCGACCACGATGATGGGCCGAAAACGTTACGAATGTTATGATAATAATAACACAACACCTTGTCTTCCGCTGTCACGGACTGGTCTTCAGTCCGCGTCCAGATCCAATAATATGGCGGAGTGCGTTGCATCCGTACAATAACAATCCGAGTGCCACAATACGTTCGGACGTTTTCGGACCCGCGATAACGCCGACGACCGAACTACACAAGTACAAACAAACAAACAAACAATAAGTCCCCGCGGTTTACTATTACGGCGTGTAAAATGATTTGTGTGTATCACGCAGCGATGAGTGAAATTTGTTCAGATAACGATGACACGTCATCGTCGCTCCAATCAAATCGTTTACATAGATACACATAAAGGTGAAACGCATTTGTACATTATCCCTGACAAGATAGTGTGTGATAATAAATTTAAGTTTTGATTGTGAACCATATTCTTGAGAAGGTTACAGTATAGGAAAATAACAAAATGGTTGAATAACTCCTGTAGATAAGCTGTAAATGCAATGTGTACAAATCACTGTACATAGTAACTATACGAACTTTTGAATAAAAGTAAAGATTATAAATGTCTTTAATATTCTCTTCTGTGAATAAAACATTTTTTATTTTTAGTTATATTTCATATACATAATTACTATAAGAAAATAGATTAATACCAAACCTAGATAACACGCGACTAGAAATATCGAAATTTTCATTCGGATAAAAATTTTAAAAAATGAGCTTATACTTGAGACGAGTACGTCACTGTTGTAAGCAGGGAGTTAGGAACATTCTAGATTAACCAAATCGGGGCCAAGTGCACAATCCAAGTCTGGGTCTAATTTTCACAGATTGGGGCAAAAAACAAAATATGTTATTGTCTGTTCACATACGCCTGTCCGTCCACTGAAATTAATTAATGAGCAAAATTGGACATCGCCTGTATTTATTTGTCTGTCCGTCCACTCAAAATAATGACTTGGGTCCTGATTTAGTGTCTCCCTATCGGTACGCCACTGAATGTAATCTACCGAAGAATATTCGTTTAGCCCAACATGCAGTAATCTACCGAATAATTTATTTTAATACGATACACAAATTAATAGCAATACACTTACTAAAAATATGGTACTCGTTAAGTTTGTACTGTAAAAGTTTCCTTTAAATCTGATAATAAATCGTCGAATATTTTAGTTTTGGATGATAACGATCATCGAAAATCGTTAGGCAATCGTGATGGCGATCATCGCCATATTACATCGCTAATATTGTGGAGAAGTGCCATTACATTTTATACAGTATTTGATCGCGACTAACTTCCCCGATGATTATGTTGTTTGGGTTGAATTCCAGTACTCGGAGCCACGCGATTTTTTCCCAAATACCCACGGACTCCGTATTCGATTCATATAATTCCGTCGGTTATCTTCTACCCGGGCTTCGTAATCAGCACGCTGTAAGCGATCACGACTATATTTCCCTTGAAAGAGGGATTCATCTAGCACTCCGATATATCAGAGTCCTCCCATTTTCCACGATTCGTCGTAGACCGGCCGTTTGTCAGTAGATCGCACATTGGACATGTTCAAAATTCATTGTACATAAGAATGATAATAACTCGTTCGTGGTGAAAAATAATAATAATAATAAATTGAATTTTTCAATTTTCCCCGTCGTAAATAATATAAACAATATACGACGTTAGGGGCGACGACGGGGTTAATGAGTTTATTGTAACGGCTTTTTTATTTTTATTTTTTTTATGTTTTCTTTTGTTTACAGGACGGCGGTGGAATTCAAAGAAAAGGCTCCGGTGGCGAACGGACTTTAGAGTTAAATAAATTTACAATTTATAGATTAAAAAAGAAAAAAAAATCCCCTCGTTAGGATGAAAATACGTAGAAATAGCCGTTGTACGCGTATCTAACGAAATCGTCACGCGAGCACAAAATCGGATCACGCGCTCCTATATACATAATAACATACAGGGTGATTCTTTTATATCGTTATCCGAAACCATAATTACGATAAACTCGCATTATGCCTTAATGCAGTCTACATTTTAAACTGCAGCTATAACTCATAAACTCATATACATATAACACGAGATACGTCCGACATCAGTAAGTGTTGGACAAATCAAAATTCTTAAGAAAAATATGTTTTTGTTAAAAAAAAAAAAAAAATCGTACCAATTTAAATTATACGATAATAACAATAATATAACATAACGCCAATTGTCATTGTCAATCGAATCGTCGACAAACGTAACTAAACTGTTACGCGCGACAGACACGACACAATCAATTTTTAAGTATAATATATTATTTTTAAGTTAATTAGGATCTAAACTCACTTATAAAGCCGTATGCCGGTCATAATGACGGCGGGTCGTGTAGCGGATTTTGTGCTCGGACGCCGCGGTCGATCGGTGGAAGCGTGGCGGACGGCGGTTTCGATGTTTAGAGAACATCCTGAATAACCGGTAAAAACCGAATTTCCCTAAAAAAAAAAAAAAAAAGACCACCCGAGAAAAAAAATAACAATCGCCCTGTAGATACCGCAGGGGCGTCGTGCGATTTAGGTTAGGTTAACATAATATAATACGTGTTGTACATAATATGCGAGCGCGGCGTGCGTGAGGGGGACGGGGTTTTCTTGCGTTGCACTCGGGCGCCGTCGCCGCGCCGGAAGGGCATTTATTCCATTGATGTCTTTCCCGTCTCCGCGCGAACAAAAGGCCGCTGTTCTCTCACTCACTCTCTCTCACTCTTTCTCTCTCTCTCTCTCTCTCTTTCTCTCTCTCGCTCTTTCTCTCTATGAACGCGCTCGCCGCCGTACATGTGTGCACTACACGTCGCTATAAATACATAATACACACACGACGATTACTGTCAGCACGGCCGCGCGAGCGGACGAGGCGCTTTTAAAGGTTATCGCCGCGCGCTGCAGACAACGGTCGCGATAATTGTTTCCGGCGTTTTCGCGAACGCGAGCGCGCCCGCGACGTCGTCGTATTATATTGTACAACGTAACGACGGCGGTGTTTAGCGAGGAAACATACGCGAGCGCGCTCCCCGCAGACGGAATAAAGGGGCCACCCGAAAATGTATAATCTCCGCAGTTGTACACACTCGTGTATAATAATATTGTCGCGACGTTTTGTTATATAATAACAAGCTGTCTCTCCCACTCCCCAACCCCGCCCCCCTTTCATCGGCTTTGCCCGTATAACGAAAACGATGCAGAATAAAGTTTATAAAGATAAATTACCGTTGTTATTACTGCAGTATTACCCGCGCAGCACAGGGATTGCACTACAAAAATTAATAACAACGTGTTTTTAAATTCTTAGTGTAGCGGAGAATGTAATGGTTTTACAAAGATGTTTATATTTTTTTTCCGTGTGAACACATTTTCGACCAGAAAGTTTACTCCGATGTATACCGATGTAGACGCTTTTCTGAAAGGAATTTCTCTTGGAGCGGTACTTTAGGGAGGTCATTTTGCGATTTTCTCATCAAATGCGATAAACCCGGAAAAAAAACCAGGAAAATGTACGAAATGCGTAGATATTAGTTGAAAGATATTACGGCCTTTATTTTCCCTGTGAACAACTTTTCTATCAACAATTTTGCTCAGATAAAATGAAAACACTCTTTCTGAAAGTAAATCAGACTGGGGAGGTACTTTAAGGAGGTAATGTTTTGATTTTCCCAATAAATTGGAAAAAACGGGAAACAACGGAGGAAAAACGGAAAAATAGGTAAGTACAATAATAAACAAATACTATTAAAGAAAATGTCTAATGCATATGTAATTTTACCATCATGTGACACGTTATATATTGTTCACAAAGCAACACTATCAACCGAACTCCGCTCAGAATCGTTTTTTCGTTAGCAATGATTTTTTTTCATCAGTGTTACCACGGTAACCCATTAATCAACAAAAATAATATTTATAGTATTAATAATAATAGTTTGCACAATCAACAAATACCCGAAAACCGGATTTTACGGAATGGTGTTTAACAGGGGACGGATTTCAATGTAGCTATATAAAATTTTTGCGGACAACGCGGAACAATTTCTCAATTAAATTTCATGGCGATCGGATCAATGTTGTAGTAAATAATTGGAGAGTGGGTCAGTGGCAAACTAAAAGCGTTCTAGTTTGTCATATATTTTTCCATCCGTGTTACCATAGATACCCGCACAGCACAGGGATTAAACTAAATATATCCACTCAATAACGCTAAAATGATGAGGACATAATAGTATTGTATAATAGTAGTGTAGTATTGTTACTGTGCCAAAACATACAAAGATTTAAAGATGACGTTTTACGTGTTTTCACTTTTCACTTGCACACCCTGTACCCAGCCCAGTACAGCGCATAATTTTTTGTTTTTTTTTTTTTTTCATCGATGTTATCAAATTTACTCATCCTATTTCAAGCCAATAATAGACCGGCAGATAGTCAGATAGACTCTTTATTTTAATTTATCATAGTTGTTATAGCATTTTTATTTCTAATTATTATTTATTTTTTGTTTGAAATTGTTTTTCGTTTCATCCGTGTAACTAAATATTACTCCACGATTCAACAAAAATAATTTAATTTTCATATCGAAAATACCTAAGAACCTTTCATCCCCTTCTAGATTATTAATCGAGATGAAGACTATCCTATCTTTTAAATTGAACCAAATCATACTCATTATTGAGCATTATCTTATAAAAATCGGTCGAGTAGTTTCTAAGTGCATCTCGCACGTAAACTCGTCGTGCGCGTAATTTCTATATAATGTACATATACATATATATACATATACGATAAATAATAATAATAAAACATCGTTCATACGCGATAACATCAGCGAGACGCAAATAGCGTTTTCCGCCTTACCAAAGTGATGTTTTTCCATTGGCACGGTGCTGGTTTCACACCGGTTCGCAACATGCAGGGCGGAGACATTATGAACCAAAACATACTACTCCACTACGGTGTTTGCAGGGGAGGAGGCGAATTATCCCGTTGTGGTACGTACGTGGACTACTGCGTTATGCAAGTGAATGTCTGCAAGATGATTGTGGACAATTGCAAGGTGAATAATTCGGACAATGTTGTAAAAGTCCAAGTCGAAGTTATACTTACCATGAACTTAAGATAAATAATGCGAACCATTGCATGATAAAAACGTCGACGCCATGGTCCACCGGTATCACGATCGCATGTTGGTGGAACCCCGGAACACTCGAATATGTATTCCGAAGTCGAATGCTTTTTTATGAAATATTACGATTAAGTTTACACCTTAATAACCCGAAATAAATACTTTATTTAAAACTTTTTTTTTTTTTATATGCTCAATAATTTGTCCAAAAATTGATTTTGTTTTTTTTTCGCACATTAATCCTCGGGAATTTTTATCCGGTGGTGATAAAACACTTTTATTTGAAACAGTTGTCAACATTTTCAATATTAAACTTCCCAAGACTTTTTTTTGTTGATTTATTGATTACCTTCGTAACAAAGGGAACAAATGGTAAATACTATTCCGTTAAGAATCTTTTTCCGTTTGCAGTTATTTTTGCATACAAAATTTATGAATCCTGAGTACTGTATTTTTCCAACCAAAAATTGCAAGCGTTTTTTGAAGTAGAATTTAATAAGCGAACCAATTTTCAAACGGAGTTTTGTTGTCATATTATAAAGTCATTAATCCATGATAATTAAAATACTCATAGTAATAAGTAAATAAAAATACATAATCACAACTATAGGTATATTCAAAGGAGGAATGGGAACCAAATTCAAGCAGGGAAATTAAAATTTATCCAGTCCATCCAATAAAATACGTATCTACCAAAAAAATTGTTCTTGCGTTTCAACTTAGGCTTAGAACCCAAGATGTTGAATGTACTTTTACTTAAGACATGACTGAAGATAACAATGGGAAGGAATTTTGAACAAAAAATTTAGAAAAGTGATATTAACAATATACAATTTAATGTAACACTGTTGATTTTTGGTTGAAAAAAAAAACTAGGAGCTTACGCTATGTGTCGGTGAGTACTAAAAATTTGAGACGAAAAAATGCGGACAACTGTAATTTAATATAGTTACAAATGAATACAGCTATCAATTGATATTGATCAAAACTCGTTTTTGATTAGTATTGATAAGTTTTGTGGGACTACTATAACAAAATTATAATATTATGCTGGCCAATACAGTACACATTCAGTATTACACCGAGCTGGCCAGTTATAAATATGTGTTTTTGAAATGCAAAACGACGAATATTACGCTGTTTATTTCATAATGTATTTTGCCGTCAGTCGTCATTACGTTTTAAAATATTTTACTTCGAGTAGTCATTCAAATGTTAACTTTTCATATTTTCTTGACTTAGTTCGCCGTTCATAGATTTCATGTGCGTTCGTGTTCGTTGATATACTACAGGGATTTTTCAATGGACCGCAAACCAATTATCATGCCGTTCAAACAAACCAATATCGAGCCAACCGAATTCGTATGTACTCAAGAAAGACAAACCCGGCTATCGTATAAGTAGTATAGATAAATTCAAATTTTAACTGTGCAGCGGTAAGTATTAAACTGTAATAATTATTTATTTATTTTAAAAAATAATTGGAGCCCAATTTACGAATTGCATACAGATACCTTGCGGATAAGTACTCAATTCATTTCTTTTAAGGAAGGGGGGGGGATTCATCGACAATTAATTATTTTTATTTTAATTCTATTTAGATTGCTGAATAATCGACGGTAGAAGTACCTATACTTCCGTCAACTTCGGTCGATTAATATACTTAAGGAAGACAAAATATATTTATATATCTACTATATCCCTGTTAAGATAATATATAGCTGTAGATAGACCGACGCATGATGTAAATATGGATCGTTGTTGAGAGCTGTGCTAGAAAATACCATGGGATGACACCACTACAGGCCTGCCCGAAATTAAGATGTGTAGATAGGAAGAAATCGGAAAAACTAAAGCACGGAATGAATAGGTACGCGAGACACGGCGTTGGAAAGCGAAATTTAAAGGTAATTATTATGCTGGACTAGAAAAATTATAAATAAATTCAACTATTAACCTGTAAATTGTGCAGGGTTAAATATGAAGTATAATTATAATTACATATAGGTAACCCGTTGGTAATTACTACGTACCCAATATATTTTTATATTCTCAGTGAAGCAAGGGATCTATTGATTTTACTATGATGTGTATATTAGATTCTGAGTGGGTCGAAGAAGTTTATGGTTTTTACAAAGATTTTTATTTTTTTATTTTTTTTGTTCTGTGGACAACTTTTCTACCAGATAACTTGCTCCGATTTTTATTTGTAGCACCTTTTCTGAAATAAAATTGGTGTGGGAAGGTATTTTAAACAGATCATTTTTCGATTTTCTCAAGAGTTTTCTCATCAAATGCGAAAAACTGAAAAAAAAAAAACGGGAAAAGTACGAAATATATTTGTATAATATTACGATCTTCTTTTCTGTGGACAACTTTTCTACAAGCAATTTTGCTCCAACTTTTAATAATAGCAATTTTCCTAAAAGTAAATTTCACTAGAGAGGTAATTTAAAGAAGTTGTTTTTCGATTTTCTCCGGAGTTTTCTCAGCAAATGTGAAATACTGGGAAAAAACATAGGAAAACCAGAGAAATCGATACAACATCAAACAAATATTATTAAAAAAAATATTTTACTATAATATGACATATATATTGTTTAAAAAGCATCACTATTAACTGAACTCCGCTCAGAATCGTTTTTTCGTTAGCAATGGTTAATCGTTGCTAACAAATATACATTGAATTACCTATAACAGTGGCTGCACCCGTCCTATTAACCTATGATATATTTTTAAGTGAACAACTTTTCTCTTAGAAATCTCGTTCCAATCAAAACATGAAAAGAGACCTTTTCTTGTTGCATTTTGGCTTTAGTTGATACTTTAGAAAGACCATTTTTTTAAAATTCGGGTCAATGAGAAAAAACTAGTTCTTTAGATTAAAAAAACATTAAATGATTAAAAATAAGGTTGTCACTAGCAAACGTTTTTATTTATTTTTTGTTATTATTAAGTTTATTTTTTTAATCTTTTTGAATAATCATTGATGTCGTTTTTTTTTTTATTATTATTATTATTATTATTATTGTGGTATAATTAGTTTTAAAGAATTGTTTAACCGAGCTTCGTTTAGAATCGTGTTTTATTAGCAATAGTTTATCGTTGCTTACAGTTATAAATTAAATCATTTTATGTAGCCCACCTTTTCAACTACCCACCTACAACAGTGGCAACATTGTATCTGCTTGTTTTTCTTCTTTTTTTTAGGGCTGGTTGACAAATATTAATTGTTTCAATGATCGCGATTGCGTTCGGATCGAATCCTCCATAATACTTATCTATATAGTAACTATACCCTGTCCAACTTAAGAGTATACCCGTCGGCGGATGAAAACACGTCCACTTTCGCGCATGTGTTCCCACTCCCGGTTACCGGTACCGCTTCATCCACTCACCAGCCTATCAATCTGGCCACCGCCAATACACATTATGTACTACGACGTACGTAGAGAACATCATATCGATAACATTTTGTTTTACCGCGTACACGTATTTTCTCGCACAAATGCTCGGTTTTAATTTAAATAAACACTATAATTTACGTTTTAGGTAATGTAATTATTCTATGTTGCCCGTTAATTTGACTGAAACAATATAGGTTTGCGTGTATATTACAATTTATCTGGCGATAGGTATTATATATATTATAATTCGCTATATTTATGACGGCGGTGGTGAGGATGATAGTGCGTGGCATACAGAATTATGCGCAACGGATATACTCTTAAGTTGAACAGGGTATAATGTATTACTATATGGAATGTGGTTTTATCGAGAAATAAACAGAGAATTGGAGTTCAATCGGAGAATATAAAATTAAGAACAACAATTAAATGGAAGAATTTATATATCATATTGTGGTCGCGTTTACGTTCGTACCTGAAGTTATACACATTTAAAAGGTAATCGATTTATTTGTATTCTTCAAGTGGAATAGGCCTAGCAACACGTTTAGCTGGGGATACCACTAAAAAAAAAACGCTCCGAGTGTAATACCTCATGCTTATATGATAATATTACGTGTACTTGAAATGTACCTATATTTAATAAGCTAAGGTGGTGAGGAAACTTACACAGCTACTTTGAATTGAAAGAGTTATCGCGTAAATTAATTTTGATGTTTTTCCCCACACTCACAGTTATAAAGAAAATAGGAGGAAAATCAAAAAAATAATCTTCCAATGCACCGGACACTAGATGAAATTCAATTTTAGAAAAGACGCTACACTTATTAATGATCAAAGAGCAAGGTATTTTCAAGTAGTTTACAGACTGAAAAAAAAATTATTATTATTTTATAAACCTAATTTAGATTAGATTTTATTTGCCTGAAATCTTAATCACGTTATTTTTTTTTATTTTGAAATTATAGTTATTTAATCATAAGGTTATACGTATTTGTATTTAAACATAGATATAATATTAGTATATTAAACGGATCGCTTTATTACTTTATTTACACTATACGACCAATTTGGGACACGTGTTATTAACTACATAGCATTCAAAACTAGATACAGGTACAATTCGTACGATTCATAAAATGCCAGCTTGAAAACTCAACTTTTATTTATTCGCCCGTTCAAATGTCATGCTAGTTAGAGGCATATCAATGTATACAAATTAATCTGTACCACAAAAGTCTATAAGTAACGCAAGTACATTTTTTCAAAGTTAGTTCCTTAATCAGTAACTATATATTCTTTTAAAAGATATTAAAATTTCAAGTCCAATATCATAAAATAAATCCATACCTAAATAGTAAGATGCATACTAACATAAGTCCTAAACTGTGTTAGGTATATATCGAGATCAAAGCTAAGGTTGGTAAGACTACAGACCAAGAGCGTATTTCAGAAGAAGGCACAAAATCCAGAAATATACATAACATAAATATGAATGGAAATGGAAATTAATGAAAGCAGAAATATTTATGTGACTAGAGGTGCTGAAAATATTTCATATTTACTGCTCTGATTGAATCGTATGTCCAT